ATTTAGAATAATGCATTTATAAAACCGTTCAACAATAAAAATAGTTTTAATTTATTTGGGTTTTAAACTTTCCAGTACAGATAGTAGAGATGCAGCTACATCCAATTCGCATAACAACTTAAATTATTATAAAAAACAATGATATAAAATAAGAAAATTATATTATTCTTCGAAACTTTAAATACGTAAGGAAAGTAAAATTTATTTGCAACGTTCATTAATTCTTAACATAAATGGAAGGTTGATTGTTTGATGAAATGAGCGATCTGATTAGGAGGACTTTCTATGAGAAACTGGCCTCTATTCACTTGTTATACATGTGAAGAAATTCCTAGAGACTTCACATAGTCAGCCCGTTTGTAAGGCGCAATAATGGCTGAGCAGTTTTCAATTGTTTTATCCGCTCAACTACTGAAGAGCAACATATTGATTGTAAATACAATAAAATAAACCAGCAACAAGTTGCTCAACTTTGGTGGCACCATCTGTTGTCATATTTTATTTTAAAAGTTTTTATATTTTTAACTATTATAAAATATCAAAAAGTTTAATTTTGAGAGTACAGATGAGTTTATAAATAAATCGTAAATGCTAATAACGAGAAAAATCTTCATTTATTCTGACCCTACCCGAGATACACACGACCTCCATTATTTCTTTACTCCGTGGACCTTCAACCACCAAAATTTAATAGTATCAATATCCGTAACACACAAACCTTCCTGCAAAATTTCAAAATTTTCAAAAATGTTCGACAAAAATTACAGGAGTTGTTAAGCTTAGAACAGGTTGATCAAAATTGTGCCCCACACACCCAAACACATACACAAGCACTAATATTCATAAATAGAGAAATCACACTAAATTTTTTTTCGAATTTTGACGTTTCAAGGTCCTATGTCCAAAAATGTAAAATCTAGGGAAAGGGTCATTTTTTAACCGATTTTGATCATGCTTCTTTCTGTTATATATAACAGCCAGAAAAGTAAGAACACATAAAATAAAAATTTTATTTTTGATTTTTTAAATTTTCATATTCCTTTCTTAACTTTGCCGATTGCTATAAGTCTGGATCTTAGAAATTAAAAGAAAAGTATGGGTTAGATAAGACCAAAAATTAATTAATTAATTTTCGGTCTTATCTAACCCCTACTTTTCTTGGCAACAAGAAACAAGCAATTGGTCCGTAGAATATACATGGCGAAATTTGACCTGGAAAATCTTAGCCCTTAGATTTACTTTTAACTAGCTTCGTCACAACATCCGCCTTGAAAAGTTGTACGTATTTGCAAAAATCATATTCGATGGTAGTGCAGTTTTTTCAAACTCCGATCACAGACAAAATACTTTCTGACTGAAAGAGATGTCTGCTTACGCTTCGCTCAATTAATGTTAATTCAATCAAATAATTCATAAGCAATGTGTCAGTAACAGTGCGTTAAAGAATGCAAAATATTAATGATAATTTCTCAAACTTCAAAAACTATGTAAATTGCTCTTCTCATTTCTTGTATACTGATAATCATTCACAGGCATCCTCACTTCACACTTAGACATCTTGTCGCTAACATCTGCACATCCTAAAAGATCATTGAAATACTCACACCTTTCCAATGCATTCTCATGTCTTTACGTTAGATCATTATTGTTATCTTTTAGGCTTTTTGTATTCACATATGCGCTACTAACTTTAACCTTTCTCATATACCTCCAACTTTCTAATCATCCGTAAATGCCACTTAAAATTTCTCTAGTCTTTCATCCTCAACACGTTCTTTGCTTTTTTCACAATTTATTTGCATTCAGAATTATGTTCTCTGAACTCATCCTTACGCTCATCATTCAAATATTTCAATCAGGCTTGTTTCTTTTTACAGCTTCAGCAATTTCTCCATACCACCATGCAGTGACTCTCATTCTTACTCGAAGTGGCACTGCATAGTGGAATGAAGGTTACTGAAGTGTGCAAGAGAAAAATTTCCTTCCTTTGTTTTGTCTTCTATATCGCTAGCCATTCAGCAATTGTATCTTCGACCTGACCAGGTAATAGTCAGTAACTATTTCACACACTCATATCGCCTTCGTATCTTTTACAATCTATTTCAATCTTTCATCATATATCAAGAACTCGATCTTACACTTTTACTGCAGTGTTCTGTTTTCCCAAATATACATGTGGATTGACTTGTGCTTAAAGAGGATACCGGATATGAACAAGTCCTTGCAGCACATAATTCAATCAGCCGCTCATCATTTTCATTCACTCCATCAAATTCATACCTGCCATACATGATCGAATTAATACAGTTTTGATTTTATTTTATCTTGCCTTTCTGCTATAATAGAATCATATAAATTGGGAAGCTTTCTATGCAACGAACATTCGCTACTAACAAACAACTATGATACTTTCTAAATGGTTCACGGTATCCGGGATGAGTGTATTAGTTTCAAAAAAATCGGTAAAAAGAGTATTGAAGAATAATTTGACATAAATTTTAAAACAGAATAGACATTGATCTATTTCGAATTTATATAACAGTTTAATTATTCCTTTTAAATTGATATACACATATCTATCACTTATAGTTTAATTATTATTTAACTTTTAAATAACAAAAAGAAAGATCCACACTTTATTTTCGGCGTGGTTATAAGTTTATTTTATTATATACGAATTAAAGGATCAACAAAATGGAAAATATAAAAACACTGAAAATACTTTCATATATTTGAGATTAAATTCAAGAAGACGAAAATACGTAAAGATTAAACATTGCTTTGTATACAGTCATGAAACTTTCCATGTGATATAGGCCTATGTTATAGACATTCTTTTTATTCATTTTCTAATTATTATTTTAATTAGTTTTTCATATAATTATAAAGTATTTTTAAAATAAATTGCTAAAATTCACAATTAAAATTATATTTCTATGTAATATAAGTAAATAAACAAAATAAAAAGAATAACAATAAAAAATAATACAAAACTGTTTCATCTAAGTTGAAATAGCATCTCGATAGTGCTGCAACCACAGTCCACATTCCTTCTTTGCTTTCTTCTTGTAAATGTGGATATTATAAGGTTCTAGATTTATAATCCTTCTATATATTGGGTCAAACGGTAAATAATCTTCATTCAAATTCTCATATGGTTTACTATAAAAAAAAAAAATAAGAAACGAAAGTAAGATTTAGAATAATGCATTTATAAAACCGTTCAACAATAAAAATAGTTTTAATTTATTTGGGTTTTAAACTTTCCAGTACAGTTTTTATTAATGTTGGCTAATAAAACTCAATTGGTTAATGTTAAAATTAAATTTCAAAGGAGAATGTGAGGACTTGGCAGTTTCTCATAGAAAGTCCTATCTGCCTATCAGAAATCGGACCCATATTAGGGTTACACTCGTAAAGAAAATCCCTAAAATTCCTTGCAACCATCTGTTGTTGAGACATGAACTCACGACTAATCAGCGTTTAGCAGTTTGATATGTGTGGTTTCAATGCTCGATGATAACCCCGCATAGCTGGTGTGAGCCATGCTCTTTAAGTATCCACTGATACATACCAAGGATAAGTATTCCATAATCACTGTGTTTTTCAAGCATAGCTTAAACATCTTTAGTAAAATAAATAGAAGAATACGAAAGAAGAGAAATTTGTATTTACAATGTTGCGAAGAAAGTTAAGTAACTCGTTGTTGGATTTTTGGATTAGGGAGTTTTGAGATATGTAAAATAGATGCTTAAACCCAAACACACCACTCATTCCCACATTCAGAATAATGAGTATTATTACGGTTATTTTCTTATATTTTTGTGCTCCAACAATGTAATAACGTCGAGAAAAACCAAAACCCCGTAAGCAAAGAATTTAGCATTATGAATGTATGGTAAGATTGCCATACTTTTACATTGTTAAAGTCCATAAAAGCGGAGAAAGTAAAACAAAGAAATAAATAAAATGTTAAAAACACGTACGAAGATGAGTTTGTTTATCTATATCTATGATAACATGCAACATAGAGATAAATTAAAACACCTATAACAATTTTTATAAAATGTATTATAACTTGATATAGACGTATTTCTTAACTTTTATTCGTTTCGAAAATAGTTATGTAGAAAATAAATCTTACCCCGTTTTTGCAAAAGAAGTCCACAGTCGAATAATCTGATAACTAAAATATTTCTCTTCATCTGTGTATTCTTCAGGATACATGAACGGCATACCAAATACAAAGAAAATCTCTTCAAAGTGAGGAACACCTTCCCATTTTTTATAACCTCCTGTCACATGAGAATAATTGAAGTTATAAAAATATACGGTGTTATCATATTGCCATAACTTTTCCGCTAGAGCAACAATAGAACAAATAAAAAGTCCGTCTCCTATCGCTTCCATAGTTCGTTCAGCGGTGGATGAGTAATCATAATTTGGCAATTTTCCAAAATACTCTTCTGAGATTGCTTCAAGACGTGTTCCATTTAACAAGAAATGTTTACTCAAAATATATTCTGCTTCCGATTTACTCAATTTTGGAACATCTTCTGTTCGATATTCCGGTTTATGATTTAACAAAAACGGCGATCCTTCGTTTGCAACATTTCCTATCATCACTTCTCTGCCGTGTATTGCACCTTCATCGACACTGTTTATACCATTGTCGAGAAGAAAATGGCCGTCAACTTGTTCCGTAAAACTTAAGAAACTCTCATTAGGTGCTGCAAATTTCCTTTCGGCAGCTGCTAAGTCCTCGGCTTTTAGGCTCAATAAACAATTTATCACATCGTTGGGGAATGTGTTTCTCGTATCACAACCAGCTATCATTGCAATTTTCTTTGTTTTTTTCTCATTTTCTTCTGGTTTTAACGCAAAATAACTATTGTAATTGGAACCACTTTGAAGAATACTTCTTCTGAACAGTCCTCTAGATAATGGTGATATCATGTGATCCGTAATCGAGATAGAGCCAGTGCTTTCTCCAAATAGAGTGATATCATTTCTGTCTCCTCCGAAGCATTCTATATTATTATAGATCCACTGCAAGGCAACAACTTGATCTAACATTGCCATATTTCCAGGCATTCTGGTGTAGTTCAAATACATGAATCCGAATGAGCCAAGTCGATAGTTAAACGAAACGACGATGACATTGCCTATAGAAGCTAAATAGCGCCCATTATAGACAGGTATTGTCGAACTGCCAGTATTGTATGCTCCACCATGTATCCATATCATTGTAGTAAATGGTTTTACTGTTCGTTTTTCAGCAGGAACCCAAATATTTAAATATAAGCAATCTTCACTCATGTAACGCAGATTCTGCGGTACCCAGTAAAAACGAAGATCTACGGGGTCTTGGGTGCAGGCGGGTGCCAGTATTGTAGCATCCAGAATTCCATGCCACTTCGAAATGGGTTGAGGCGCTCGAAATCTAAGTTTATCAACTGGAGGATATGCGTATGGAATACCTAAATACGCATAAACATCACTAGATAGTACTTTTATTATTTTTCCTTTAACACTTCCAGTTAATGTATGAACAATTTTATCTCCATTGATTTCGGATAAAGAATGGAGACAGATGAGAAATGAAATAAAGAATTTCATGTACATTCTGTAAAATATTAAGAAAATAATAGTTTAAAAGTTTGCTTAATTAAATCTTATTTTTGACTATATAATATATTGTACTTAATTTCGAATATAATACACACGGAGTCAGAAAATAATATACAGTATTAACAAAAATGTCAATGGAACTGGATCAGTGGCGGATCCAGAAGAACTAGGCCTAATAAGAAAGGGAAACTGAAAACTAAAATATGTCTCGGTTATTATACGCTGGTTATTTTATTAACTCTCACACGATGTTTGTATTGAGGATGGTCCGATAAACAATATTTATTATCATAAATGTTGATAATCAGTAGCTTTAGACATCTCTGCGAAGTAGGCATCACACATGGAAATAATGTATTTCGATGTTTAACAAATGTGATAAATTTACAAAAAAATTCATTCCTTACAGAATTATCAGTTGTTTAATATAATGTATCTATCAAATTATTATGTTGCAATTTGAAAAATTGTATGCCTAGATATGTCCACTATTGTCTTGCCGTTTGTCTGTCCCGCTGACTGTCGTTCATTAATTTTACGAACGAAGTTAGACACATAAATGTCATGACAAGATGTAGAAAGACTTGGAGCGTCAGCCCAGATTAACTATAAATCGACTTCCGAATCATACTGGAAGTAAAGTTATTTCAATTAAAATATTTTTCCTTGAAAGGAGTTAGAAAGATGACCGCCAAGACTACATTACTAACGGAAAAGTTTGATGTACAGTACATAGTCAAGTCACTACTAATTAGAGGTGGAAAGCATATATTTTTATTTAAATAAATTAAAAATATGATTAAAAATTGCAGTTCGGCGGTGTGACGACGTCACAATAGATAATTGCTCTTCGTTTAGTCAATTTTATTGAACTTCATTAATTTATTCTTCCTGTTGCAGTTTATTGAACGTAGTGTATAAATAATTGATTGTCAATTTTTACAGAATTCAATACAAGAATCAATTATTACTTTCCCTGTTGTTATACTTAACAGAGGGAAAGTATGGCAATCTTTTAAAAAATGACCACACAAGAATTTTACAGGATTTAGTAAAAAATCGAATGAAATTTCTGTATATATAGATGTTATTTTATATAACACGATTATAATTACACAGTCTGAAGCTAAATAACTCCTGCTTTTTTTGCCGAAATATTATTAAATTTAGCAGAACGGTTTGTTTATTGATTCTATTTAATTTTGGTGGTTAAAAGTCGAGGGGGTGGGGAGATAATGGGAATTGTGTTTACCTCCAGTAGAGTCAGACTTAATGAGGATTTTAATCGCAATTGTGAGATTCGGAATTTCTACCGATTATTTTGCCGACTATTTATCGATTAATTGTCCCGTATTTGCTTAAAATCTAATTAAATTTTCCTTTAACTTAAAGTGAAACCTAACGGGGAAAAAAAAACTTTTCGTTTACATTCGTCATAAACATCAGTTCAATTCGAAACTAAATCCTCATTCCAACGCCAAAGTTGATAGTTAGCATGGTCCCGGGAACAACTCTGACCCATCTGCGTACCTTTTACCTCACAACAATCAATCACGTGATCATTCTCCCACGCCGAACTTATAAAAACCCCTTCCTTCCCCTTCTCGGGGGAGTCGTACCAGAGCAGGTGCCGGAAGAAGATCAATTTCAAATAGTGTCCTTTTTTATCTAGTGAACTTCCCTAAATCCAGGATTTACATAGTTAACCAGTGACCTTTCCTACATCAGTGAACTTTCCTAGCCAGAGAAATTTTCCTAATTCAAAGAGTAGCGTGGTTAACAGATCAAGAGGTATGGAACCAATTATTGTAAGCTCTCTCTCGGTCTCCCCGCGTTTTAGGGACGCGAACTATACGTTGTATTACTTGGTTTAATAAATTGTTACGTTTTCTTATGTTATATCTGGCCTCCTCGTTTACTCGTATATCGCCTGTCGTCTCACCGACGCGCTCCTCCCNCGAGAAATCGAAGACTCTTCAACCACCCATCCTGACAGTGAAAGGGTTTAACAACCTGTTGCCGGATTGGGAGACCTACCCCCCCTTCCGGTGGTTTCACGAATTGGTTCACAGGAGTGGGGTTCCGACTTCTTCGGAACTTCGGTGAGGCGAAAGAAAAAGGCCATATCCGAGTGACGCCATTGAATAGAATTAAGCTAAACATTTCCTACGGAAGGAACGTTAAGTAGAAATTAGTAGAAATAATGGAGCGCGAACCTCAACCTGCGGCTGGGCCAGGCAACCCCAATCCAAACCCTAATCCGAATCCAGCTCCTCTTACATTGGGAGGTCTAGGCGGCATCATTCCTCTGTTACCTGTGTTTTCCGGTGAAGCAGGAGGCACCCGAGTAACAGATTTTTTCGATTCGTTAGCGGATGTGTCCAGATTAGCAGCCTGGTCTAAGGCCCAGATGCTGGCTGTGGCTAAGTTAAACCTAACGGGAATAGCCCGGGAATTCGTCAGAAAAGATCGCCGAATCAAAGATATTGAGGAATTTGAGGAGTTCAAACGTCTAATGATAGAACGTTTTGAACGCGAACCTTTCCCGGTCTGATTAAATAAATTTTATACCTGCGTACAGAGACGAGATGAGGATGTACAAGCGTATGCTGCTCGTCTCCAATCTCTGGCCATAGAAATAGTGATTACACCGGAGCCCGGGGCCAATCAAGAGGAAACTAATATTATACAACGGGTCCAAGCTAAAGGCTGGATGAAAGATTAAAAGCGCAGTTCCTAAACGGGATTGACCCCCGCATACGACAACGGACGATGTCCCGAGAGCCTGCTACATTCGACGATGCGCTAAAGGCCGCTATTAGCGAGGAGATGATAAAAAATATTACAGCATGTCCACGGGGAATCCTACGCACTGTTAGGGAAGGCGAACGATCAACGGACTCCTCTCCTTCACCCAATGACCTACGACAATTAACAGCAGCGATGGAGGAGTTAAAAACGCGAATGGACGGTTTAACTCGAGCCCCTTTCCGAAACAACTCTACAAATGTGCCGTTTAAACGAAATCAGCGAGGAAATATTAATAATAGAACATATCCTACTTCCGCTTTTAGGCGTAACGAATATCGGTCGTATAGCCGACCTAATCAATCGACTAATCGACTTAACCAGAATCGGACGCGGAATTTTCCTGCTCGCCGAGAAAATCATAATGAGAATCAAGGCGCCTGCCCACGAAACGACTCCCCACGGCGAACCGAAGCAGGAACTGACCAAAATCGGGTCCGATTCCGATCGCAACCTATGGAACCAACGCAAACCCGTTGGAAAGGCAATGTGCAAAGCATCAAAGGTCGACGACCTCAATTTTCACCTAGAAGCGATATTAACTTACCTTATCCTATAAGTAAGCCGAAGCGAAGATCTCCTATAGATCACCGTCGGCAGATCTATACACAGGAACGAAATCGAAAATCTTATCCTATATCTAATACTAACTATCCAACGTCTCCAAGTGAAGCTATGTTTGAATATCCTATCAGAGGAAACCCTATTGAGGAAAATGATACCAGATGGAAAGGCAAAATAGGCTTAACAACCTTAGTAAANAGTAAGAAATTGGAATGTAAACCTAGTGTTCTGTATACACTAAAGACTCTGCACTTAAATTCAGAACATTGGTCCTACTCGAAACCAGAAACATTTTATGATATACTGCTGATGTAAGCAACCAATTTGCAACATCCATACTACAAACATTAATACATATTCTATGATTTAATGAATATCAAAATATAAATGTTTTATTACGTATTATGTTGTAATATCATATATGTTATGTGATCTCTTTTAAAAAACTGAAAACAAATAAATGTTAATTTGATAAAAAAATAACCATAAAAATGTTAAAATATAAACTAAATATTGACATAAATAATGTTTGATATAATATTATTGTAAATAGCATTATATTTCTTCGTTATTGCTGTAATATTTATTGTTTTGTTATTTACTTCTGGCTATGCTTGTTTGCGGAACCAGAAGATGTGTTGTTGAAACATCTTAATAAAATATATTGATTGATTGATTGATTGATTGATTTAAGATAAAGGAAAATTTAATTAGATTTTAAGCAAATACCGGACAATTAATCGACAAATAGTCGGCAAAATAATCGGTAGAAATTCCGAATCTCACACTATTTACATTTACAATTTTTTATAAAACCCATTTCTACCCTGAAAATTAAGCTTTTTGTCATTTTATAATAGTGAAAATTATAAATTTTTATAATAAAATATGATAACAGATGGCGCCACAAAATTTTTAAGCGTTGCCTTAATTAATTAAAGATGAACAACTCTTTGTTGGTGTTTTCACACTATGATATAATTCACTAAAAATTATAGCTTGGAATATTTAAATGCCAACTAAAGTGAGAGCTAAACAGACGTACTTTAAGTTCAATCTCTTATTCATGACAATCATTGTAATATAATGAGACGTTCATCGTTGTATTACTGATGTTATGCAGAGTTATTACTAATAATTTGCATATAACATTAACATCTTGCAACAACGGATATTCATTATAGAGGAAGATTACGTAAATTATTTCACGTTAGATACTGCGATTTACATTTTATGAATTATTTTTAAACGTATTATTCCGAGTTAGTTATAACTCGAAATAATACGTTTAAAAATAATTCATAAAATGTAAATCGCAGTATCTAACGTGAAATAATTTACGTAATCTTCCTCTATATATCTTACAATTATAACAGAGAAATGCCGATTAAATATAACTATTCTTAATAAACAACTTATATTTTACTGTAAATACAAAATTCTTGAATAAAACTAGAGATCGTCATTTATTCAAAATAATTACATTCATTTTAACATTAAATTTTCTGTGTAAGACTTACCTAGAATGTGTATTGTGTTAATCGCTTTAAGGTGCGGTAAACGATGAACCTTACTGAGATATATATATGTCTATATATAGTGACAAAATGTTATTT